CAGAGTCACAGAGGGAGAGGCAATGGGAGGAGGAAAGGGCAAAATCAGTGTTTATCCATGGGCTTCGGGAGAGAGAGGAAAGGAGACACACTGAAAGACGGCAGGAAGAAAGAAAGGAGATTGAGAAAATCATCATGGAATATAGGGGGAGAAGACATGGACGAGATTGTAAATTTCAGAGAATAGGGGGGTACTTGAAGGGGAGAAACTGACCGATCAAGCTGTGATTCTCAGGACAGAAAACAGTGCGGAACAGGATCCTCCAAGAAAAAAACCACGTTGAGAAGCTCGGAGAGTACAAGAAGGTGTTCCTAGACAGAGACAGAACACAAAAAGAGAGACAGCAGCTGAGGGAGAGGACAAAAAAGCGAAAGGAGCTAGGAAAGGAGACAAAGATGGAACCAGCAGAGGTCAGTCAGAGCAGAACAGAGCAGCAAGAGCAAGCACACACACAACTATCCTCAGAACCCCACAACCTATCACACCATCCCAACACACAAATACAATCCATACCCACAGTTTCCACCAACCCCAACCATAGAATCCCACAGTATGCTACCAGGTCTCCCACCCCACAGGCTCCCCAAACAACAGTGTTGGAAAGGAAACTGAAGGTATGGTACACAAACGCTGATGGAATAACAACAAGTGGGAGGAATGGCATGAAAGAGTCAAAGAGGCATACCAGACATCATAGCAATCACAGAAACAAACTTACAGGTATGATAACAGATGCCATCTTCCCAACGGGATACCAGATCCTGAGGAAAGACAGAAGAAAAGGGGGGGGGAGGAGTGGCATTGCTGATCAAAACACGATGGAATTTTGATGAGCTGGAGAGAGGAGACAGCGGAGAAGAAAGTGATTGCATAGCGGGAACGCTTCACTCTGGAGGTCCCAAGGTGATAATTGCAGTGATGTATAACCACCACAGAACAGCAGGAGGCCAAGGCAAGAGTATGACGAGAGCAATAGAGCGATGGTTGACACACTGGCTGCAGTGGCCAGAAGAGCTCATACATGTAGGGCAAAGCTCCTGATTATGGGCGACTTTAACCACAAGGAGATCGAATGGGAGAACTTGGAGCCACATGAGGGCCAAGATACATGGAGGGCTAAGATGATGGAGGTGGTACTGGAAAACTTCATGTACCAACACGTAAGGGACTCTACAAGAGAGAGAGGAGAGGATGAACCAGCAAGACTGGACTTAGTATTCACCTTGAGTAGTGCAGATATTGAGGACATCACATATGAAAGACCCCTTGGGGCCAGCGATCATGTGGTTTGAGCTTCGAATACACAGTAGAGTACAAGTGGAGGGGGAAGCAGGAAGGCCAGGACGACATGAAACCAAACTACAGGAAAGGGGACTACACAGGAATGAGGAACTTCCTGAATGAGGTTCAGTGGGACAGAGAACTGGCAGGGAAACCAGTTAATGAGATAATGGAATATGTAGTCACAATGTGCAAGGAGGCTGAGGAGAGGTTTGTACCCAAGGGTAACAGGAATAATGAAAAACCCAGGATGAGCCCATGGTTCACTCAAAGATGCAAGGAGGCAAAAACCAAGTGTGCTAGGAATGGAAGAAATATAGAAGGCAAAGGACCCAGGAGAATAAGGAGAGCAGTCGTAGAGCCAGAAACGAATATGCACAGATAAGAAGGGAGGCCCAACGTCAATATGAAAACGACATAGCAGCAAAAGCCAAATCTGACTCGAAGCTGTTATACAGCCACATCAGGAAGAAAAACAACCGTCAAAGACCAGGTAAATCAGGTCTAAGGAAGGAAGGAGGAGGAGAACAACAGAAATGACAGTGAAGTATGTGAGGAACTCAACAAGAGATTCAAAGAAGTGTTCACAGAGGAGACAGAAGGGGCTCCAGAAAGACGGAGAGGTGGGGTACACCACCATGTGCTGGACACAGTACACACAACCGAGGAAGAAGTGAAGAGGCTTCTGAGTGAGCTAGATACCTCAAAGGCAATGGGGCCAAATAACATCTCTCCATGGGTCAATGAGAGGGGAGCAGAGGCGCTATGTGTACCCCTAACAACAATATTCAATACATCTATCGAAACAGGGAGATTGCCTGAGGCATGGAAGACAGCAAATGTTGGTACCAATCTTTAAAAAAGGAGACAGACATGAAGCACTAAACTACAGACCAGTGTCACTGACATGTATAGCATGCAAAATCATGGAAAAGATTGTCAGGAGAAGAATGGTGGAACATCTAGAAAGGAATGATCTCATCACCAGCAGACAACATGGTTTCAGAGACGGAAAATCCTGTGTCACAAAAATTACTGGAGTTCTATGACATGGTGACAGCAGTAAGAGAAGAGAGAGAGGGGTGGGTGGATTGCATTTTCTTAGACTGCAAGAAGGCGTTTGACACAGTACCACACAAGAGTATTAGTGCAAAAACTGGAGGCCAAGCAGGAATAACAGGGGAAGGCACTGCAATGGATCAGGGAATATTGTCAGGAAGACAGCAGCGGGTAATGGTACGAGGCGAGGTGTCAGAGTGGGCACCTGTGACCAGTGGGGTCCACAGGGGTCAGTCCTAGGACCAGTGCTGTTTCTGGTATTTGTGAACGACATGACGGAAGGAATAAACTCCGAGGTGTCACTGTTTGCAGATGACGTGAAGTTGATGAGAAGAGTTCATTCGATCGAAGACCAGGCAGAAATACAAAGGGATCTGGACAGGCTGCAGACCTGGTCCAGCAACTGGCTCCTGGAGTTCAATCCCACCAAGTGCAAAGTCATGAGGATTGGGGAAGGGCAAAGAAGACCGCAGATGGAGTACAGTCTAGGGGGTCAGAGACTACAAAAAATCACTCAAGGAAAAAGATTTTGGGGGTGAGTATAACACCAGGCACTTTCCCTGAAGGCACATCAACCAAATAACTGCTGCAGCATATGGGCGCCTGGCAAACCTCAGAACAGCATTCCGACCCATCTTAATAAGGAATCGTTCAGGACCCTATACACCGTTACGTTAGGCCCATTTTGGAGTTTTGCGGCACCAGTTTGGAACCCACACCTACCCAAGCATGTAAAGAAACTAGAGAAAGTACAAAGGTTTGCAACAGACTAGTCCCAGAGCTAAGGGTATGTCCTATGAGGAGAGGTTAAAAGGGAAAATCAACCTGACGACACTGGAGGACAGGAGAGATAGGGGGGACATGATAACGACTTACAAAATACTGAGAGGGAAATTTACAAGGTGGACAAAGACAGGATGTTCCAGAGACTGGACACAGTAACAGGGGACACAGTTTGGGAAATTGAAGACACAGATGAATCAAAGGGATGTTAGGAAGTATTTTTCAGCCACAGAGTAGTCAGGAAGTGGAATAGTTTGGGAAGCGATGTAGTGGAGTCAGGATCCATACATAGCTTTAAGCAGAGGTACGATTAAAGCTCATGGTTCAGGGAGAGTGACCTAGTGGCGACCAGTGAAGAGGCGGGGGCCAGGAGCTTGGACTCGACCCCTGCAACCTCAACTAGGTGAGTACAACTAGGTGAGTACACCCGGAGTCGGACCCCGACCCCCGCAACCTCAACTAGGTGAGTACAAAACCCCGGGGGCCTGGTGGCTAAAGCTTTCCCCCTTCACACACGGAGGGCCCGGGTTCGATTCCCGGCGGGTGGAAACATTCGACAGTTTCCTTACACCTGTTGTCCTGTTCACTAGCAGCAAAAAGGTACCTGGGTGTTAGTCGACTGGTGTGGGTCGCATCCTGGGGGACAAGATTAAGGACCCCAATGGAAATAAGTTAGACAGTCCTCGATGACGTACTGACTTTCTTGGGTTATCCTGGGTGGCTAACCCTCCGGGGTTAAAAATCCGAACGAAATCTCTCTCTCTCTCTCTCTCACACACACACACACAGTTGGAAGTTGAAGACTCAGATGAATCACAGGGATGTTAGGAATTATTTCTTCAGTCACAGAGTTGTCAGGAAGTGGAATAGTCTGGGAAGTGGGAAGTGGTGTAATGGAGGCAGGATCCATACATAAATTTAAGAAGAGGTATGATAAAGCTCATAGAGCAAGAAGTGACATAGTAGCTGCCAGTGAAGACGCGGTGCTAGGAGCTGTGAATCGACCCCTACAACCACAACTAGGTGAGTCACACACATAACACACACACACCACACACATACACAGTTGGAAGTTGAAGACACAGATGAATCACAGGATGTTAGGAAGTATTTCTTCAGTCACAGAGTAGTCAGGAAGTGGAATAGTTTGGGAAGCGATGTAGTGGAGGCGGGATCCATACATAGCTTTAAGCAGAGGTATGATAAAGCTCACGGCTCAGGGAGAGTGACCTAGTAGCGACCAGTGAAGAGGCGGGGCCAGGAGCTTGGACTCGACCCCTGCAACATCAACTAGGTGAGTACAACTAGGTGAGTAACACACACACACATACACACACACAGTAGCAGTAGTAGTTGGGAAGCGATGTAGTGGAGGCGGGATCCATACATAGCTTTAAGCAGAGGTATGATAAAGCTCACGGTTCAGGGAGAGTGACCTAGTAGCGACCAGTGAAGAGGCGGGGCCAGGAGCTTGGACTCGACCCCCGCAACCTCAACTAGGTGAGAAGTAGGTGAGTACACACACACAACCAAGTCCTGGCTACGAGTGTACAACATCCACACACTCACCAGGTTGACAATCATCCAAAAAGATATCAACATTTCTTTATCTGAGGGCGAAACTGAAGCCTATCAAATATCTTGGATATTATCTGTTTATCTCTTGAGCATAAAACACTAAAGACAAATCTTAAAAAACTTTTACTTAGATCTTCCATACACTTAACTGAACTTGTCAATGTGGTTTTTAATAGTTATTTAATTCTTCAGTATTTCCTCTCCAATTTACGAAGATTGGAATAAGAGCAGGTCTCGGGACAATGATCCCTGGAACTCTTAATTGATGTAACTTGTTCCAATGGTGTCATTTGCTGCAGGTGTGTCAGGGGCGGTGAACATCATCTTGAAGGACAACAGTCTGACTCAGTTGCAGGAAACTCCCTTCCTTGAGTTGCTGAAAGGGAACGACGGGGATCATTGACATCACTGGTAACCCGCTGCAGTGTGGATGTGATCTTAGATGGCTCGTTGATGTCGCAGGTAACTACCACCAGCATAATCATCAACATCTCTATCATTATAACCACCACCATCTCTATTTTGTCATCAACCACCAGACTCCTAGTCAACTATTGTTCTTTATAACGAAGTTATTACACACATTTATAGTAGCAACTACTAATACCAACATACTACTACTACCATTGTTGATATATCCACTACTGTAGCAACTGCTACTACTACTACTGTCATTCTTACTACAATTACTCTTCTAGCAACTGCTACTGCTACCATTGTTGCTTCACCCACTACCGTAGCAACTACTATTACTACCACTGTTGCTACGCCCACTGTTGTAACTCCTACTACTACTACCATTGTTGCTACACCCACTACTGTGGCAACTACTACTACTACCATTGTTGCTACATCTACTACTGTAGCAACTACTATTACTACCACTGTTGCTACGCCCACTGTCGTAACTCCTACTACAACTACTACTACTACTACTACTACCATTGTTGATATATCCACTACTGTAGCAACTGCTACTACTACTACTGTCATTGTTACTACACTTACTCTTCTAGCAACTGCTACTGCTACCATTGTTGCTTCACCCACTACCGTAGCAACTACTATTACTACCACTGTTGCTACGCCCACTGTCGTAACTCCTACTAAACTACTACTACTACTACCATTTTTGCTACACCCACTACTGTAGCAACTACTACTACTACTACCATTTTAAATACATCCACTTACTACTACTACCATTATTACTACATCCATACTGTAGCAACCACTACTACTAACACCATTATTACTACATCCACTACTGTAGCAACCACTACTACTACTACCATTATTACTACATCCACTACTGTAGCAACCACTACTACTACTACCATTATTACTACATCCACTACTGTAGCAACCACTACTACTACTACCATTATTACTACACCCAAATTACTGTAGCAACCACACTACTACTACCATTATTACTACATCCACTACTGTAGCAACTACTACTCCTACTTTTGCTACTACTTTTTACTGCTATTATTATTACTGCTGCTACTACCACTACTACTATTAATGATACTATTACTACTACTACTAACTTTGCTACATCCACTACTACAACCATTACTACTATGACTGTTGCTTTATCAACAGTAGCAGGCATTATTTCTGTTGTTATTGTTACGTCTTCTATTGTAGCAACTACTTCAAACATACTTTCTACATCACTACGGTAGAAAGTTTTTGTACTATTGTTGATACATTGAATTCTGAAGCTGTTGCTACTATTGTTGCTGCATCAAACTACAGTAGTCATCACTACAGCTACTGTTGTTGCTACATCTACTACTGTAGCCACCACTACTGCTACTATTGTTGCTACATCTACTACTGTAGCCACCACTACTGCTACTATTGTTGCTACATCTACTACTGTAGCCACCACTACAGCTACTGTTGTTGCTACATCTACTACTGTAGCCACCACTACTGCTACTATTGTTGCTACATCTACTACTGTAGCCACCACTACTGCTACTGTTGTTGCTACATCTACTACTGTAGCCACCACTACTGCTACTATTGTTGCTACATCTACTACTGTAGCCACCACTACTGCTACTATTGTTGCTACATCTACTACTGTAGCCACCACTACTGCTACTGTTGTTGCTACATCTACTACTGTAGACACCACTACTGCTACTATTGTTGCTACATCTACTACTGTAGACACCACTACTGCTACCATTGTTGCTACATCTACTACTGTAGTCATCACTACAGCTACTATTGTTGCTACATCTACTACTGTAGCCATCACTACAGCTACTATTGTTGCTACATCTACTACTGTAGTCATCACTACAGCTACTATTGTTGCTACATCTACTACTGTAGACACCACTACTGCTACTATTGTTGCTACATCTACTACTGTAGACACCACTACTGCTACTATTGTTGCTACATCTACTACTGTAGCCACCACTACAGCTACTATTGTTGCTACATCTACTACTGTAGCCATCACTACAGCTGCTATTGTTGCTACATCTACTACTGTGGTCATCACTACAGCTACTATTGTTGCTACATCTACTACTGTAGCCACCACTACTGATACTATTGTTGCTACATCTACTACTGTAGACATCAGTACTGCTACTATTGTTGCTACATCTACTACTGTAGCCATCACTACTGCAACTATTGGTGCTACATCTACTACTGTAGCCACCACTACTGCTACTATTGTTGCTACGTCTTCCACTACTGCTACTATTATTGCTACATCTACTACTGTAGCCACCACTACTGCAACTATTGGTGCTACATCTACTATTGTAGCCACCACTACTGCTACTATTGTTGCTACGTCTTCCACTACTGCTACTATTGTTGCTACATCTACTACTGTAACCACCACTACTGCAACTATTGTTGCTACATCTACTACTGTAGCCACCACTACTGCTACTATTGTTGCTACGTCTTCCACTACTGCTACTATTGTTGCTACATCTACTACTGTAGCCACCACTACTGCTACCATTGTTGCTACATCTACCACTGTAGCCACCACTACTGCTACTATTGTTACTACATCTACCACTGTAGCCACCACTACTGCTACTATTGTTGCTACATCTACTACTGTAGCCACCACTACTGCTACTATTGTTGCTACATCTACCACTGTAGCCACCACTACTGCTACTATTGTTGCTACATCTACCACTGTAGCCACCACTACTGCTACTATTGTTGCTACATCTACTACTGTAACCACCACTACTGCTACTATTGTTGCTACATCTACCACTGTAGCCACCACTACTGCTACTATTGTTGCTACATCTACCACTGTAGCCACCACTACTGCTACTATTGTTGCTACATCTACCACTGTAGCCACCACTACTGCTACTATGTTGCTACATCTACCACTGTAGCCACCACTACTGCTACTATTGTTGCTACATCTACCACTGTAGCCACCACTACTGCTACTATTGTTGCTACATCTACCACTGTAGCCACCACTACTGCTACTATTGTTGCTACATCTACCACTGTAGCCACCACTACTGCTACTATTGTTGCTACATCTACCACTGTAACCACCACTACTGCTACTATTGTTGCTACATCTACTACTGTAACCACCACTACTGCTACTATTGTTGCTACGTCTACTGCTACTACTGTTGCTACGTCTTCCACTTCTACTATCAACATTGCTTCTTCCTGTGGCTTCTGTCGAAATTATGTTTTTAATAACAAGAACAAAATCAAAATATTTTATACATTATATTATCGGTAATATCCCACTGAATATTATTTTCACTATTAAAGGGCGTTATTATGTTCTTATATTCATAGAGAGGTAATTAGCTGCTGATACGAGGAAGACTAGAGCAGTTTCAGTTCCTCGGATCAAGAGTCTCACGTTGTTGTTTTGCCTTCAGATGATGACTGGTCACGGCTGGAGGGACTTACATCTTCCTGTCCCACTGACGAGTCGTACTCCATGGACACACTCAGGGACTTCCTCGAGTACCAATGTAGCTCTCTATCTAATCCTTGAGTACCAGTGTCGCTCCTCCACCTGATCCTTGAGTACCAGTGACTCCTCCACCTGATCCTTGAGTGCCAGTGACTCCTCCACCTGATCCTTGAGTGCCAGTGACTCCTCCACCTGATCCTTGAGTGCCAGTGACTCCTCCACCTGATCCTTGAGTGCCAGTGACTCCTCCACCTGATCCTTGAGTACCAGTGTGGCTCCTCCACCTGATCCTTGAGTACCAGTGACTCCACCTGATCCTTGAGTACCAGTGTGACTCCTCCACCTGATCCTTGAGTACCAGTGACTCCTCCACCTGATCCTTGAGTACCAGTGTGGCTCCTCCACCTAATCCTTGAGTACCAGTGTGGCTCCTCCACCTGATCCTTGAGTACCAGTGACCCCTCCACCTGATCCTTGAGTACCAGTGTGACTCCTCCACCTGATCCTTGAGTACCAGTGACTCCTCCACCTGATCCTTGAGCACCAGTGACTCCTCCACCTGATCCTTGAGTACCAGTGTGGCTCCTCCACCTGATCCTTGAGTACCAGTGTAGCTCCACCTGATCCTTGAGTACCAGTGTGGCTCCTCCATCTGATCTTTGAGTACCAGTGTGACTCCTCCACCTGATCCTTGAGTACCAGTGTGGCTTCTCCACCTGATCCTTGAGTACCAGTGACTCCTCCACCTGATCCTTGAGTACCAGTGTGGTTCCTCCACCTGATCCATGAGTACCAGTGTAACTCCACCTGATCCTTGAGTACCAGTGACTCCTCCACCTGACCCTTGAGTGCCAGTGTGCCTCCTCCACTTGATCCTTAAGTACCAGTGTAGCTCCTCCACCTGATCCTTGAGTACCAGTGTGGCTCCTCCACCTGATACTTGAGTACCAGTGTGGCTCCTCCACCTGATCCTCGAGTACCAGTGTGGCTCCTCCATCTGATCCTCGAGTACCAGTGTGGCTCCTCCGCTTAATCCTCGAGCACCAGTGTGGCTCCTCCACTTGATCCTTGAGTACCAGTTTGGCTCCTCCACCTGATCCTCGAGTACCAGTGTGGTTCCTCCACCTTGTCCTCGAGTACCAGTGTGCCTCCTCCACCTGACCCTCGAGTACCAGTGTGGCTCCTCCACCTGACCCTCGAGTACCAGTGTGGCTCCTCCACCTGATCCTCGAGTACCAGTGTGGCTCCTCCACCTGATCCTCGAGTACCAGTGTGGCTCCTCCACCTGATCCTCGAGTACCAGTGTGGCTCCTCCATCTGATCCTCGAGTACCAGTGTGACTCTTCCACCTGATCCTTGAGTACCAGTGTGGCTCCTCCACCTGATCCTCGAGTACCAGTGTGGCTCCACCTGATCCTCGAGTACCAGTGTGGCTCCTCCACCTGACCCTTGAGTACTAGTGTGGCTCCTCCACCTGATCCTCGAGTACCAGTGTGGCTCCTCCACCTGATCCTCGAGTACCAGTGTGGCTCCTCCACCTGATCCTTGAGTACTAGTGTGGCTCCTCCACCTGATCCTCGAGTACCAGTGTGACTCTTCCACCTGATCCTTGAGTACCAGTGTGGCTCCTCCACCTGATCCTCGAGTACCAGTGTGGCTCCACCTGATCCTCGAGTACCAGTGTGGCTCCTCCACCTGGTCCTCGAGTACCAGTGTGGCTCCTCCACCTGATCCTTGAGTACCAGTGTGACTCCTCCACCTGATCCTCGAGTACCAGTGTGGCTCCTCCACCTGATCCTCGAGTACCAGTGTGGCTCCTCCACCTGACCCTCGAGTACCAGTGTGTCTCCACCTGATCCTCTAGTACCAGTGTGACTCCTCCAGCTGACCCTCGAGTACCAGTGTGGCTCCTCCACCTGACCCTCGAGTACCAGTGTGGCTCCTCCACCTGATCCTCTAGTACCAGTGTGGCTCCTCCACCTGATCCTCGAGTACCAGTGTGGCTCCTCCACCTGATCCTCTAGTACCAGTGTGGCTCCTCCACCTGATCCTCGAGTACCCGTGTGGCTCCTCCACTGATCCTCGAGTACCAGTGTGGCTCCTCCACCTGATCCTCTAGTACCAGTGTGGCTCCTCCACCTGATCTTCTAGTACCAGTGTGGCTCCTCCACCTGATCCTCGAGTACCAGTGTGGCTCCTCCACCTGATCCTCTAGTACCAGTGTGGCTCCTCCACCTGATCCTCTAGTACCAGTGTGGCTCCTCCACCTGATCCTCTAGTACCAGTGTGGCTCCTCCACCTGATCCTCGAGTACCAGTGTGGCTCCTCCACCTGATCCTCTAGTACCAGTGTGACTCCTCCACCTGATCCTCTAGTACCAGTGTGGCTCCTCCACCTGATCCTCTAGTACCAGTGTGGCTCCTCCACTCTCTGTACTCTTGTCAGGTTGCGTGAACCAGTGTGTGATTGTTTGTGGTGTTATGTCTTATTATAAAGGTTTAAATATTCCGTGTCTAACATTATCAAATCCACACGATTATCATCTACTTATTGCCGTTATAACCAGTTCCCTCTCAAAATATCCCGACACTGTCTCATAAGATAAGCGCATATTGTAAAAAAAAAGTTAATAAAAAATTTTTCTTGCTCTACTAGCTTTTCCTATGGTTCCAAAAGTTTCCTTCCCCATCATCTTCCTTATCAGGAGGCGGGTGTGGGGGTCTCACACCCCAAACACTGGCTTTGTTAGAAGGAGGGTATTGGGAACTTAATTTCCTAGACCCGCCTGGTGGAAAGATACAGTACAGCAACGAATTCTGTATGTTTGATTTCTTTTTTTACAAGAAAGTACAATACGAAAAACAAAAAAAGACAGCACTGTACTGTGCTACCAGCCTTCGCCATATATTGAAATTCGCCAATAGATTTTTGTAACTGGTGGAAGGACATATGAGCAACTAGTATGATATTTTATTGTGGCAGCGTTTCACTCTCCAGTAGCTTTGTCAAGCGGCTACAGCTTAACAAAGCTCCTGGAGAGTGAAACGTTGCCACAGCAAAATATTACATTAGTTGCTTGTGTGTCCTTTCACGTTACACATTGTCGGCAATTCTAACATCATTGTCACAATAACTGGTAAAATTTTTAAGTGCCTTGTAGCAGGACAGGGCATTCAGTGTGACAGCCGACAAGACCTGGTGAAATCCCTGGTGCCCTTGTGGCTAAAGCTCTCGCTTCACACACGGAGGGCCCGGGTTCGATTCCCGGTGGGGTGAAAACCTGTTGTCCTGTTCATCTAGAAGCAAATAGGTTATTATTATTATTATTATTATTAAAGATTAGCCGGTATTCTCCCGGCCCGGGCCTTTTCCAAGTGGTGGCCCGGCCTTGACTCCCTCTTTAGGGAGTGTCTGAGACCTAAGTCTCCCATGGGAGGAGGCACAAGTACCTCCTCATCTTTGGGACCAATTGTCCCCAGGCCTAGCCACAAGCTAGGCCTCTCTGGTCTGCCATCCCCGCCCCAAGGGGGCTAATGGGAATGACAGTCTTGTGAGCTACAAGCTCCGGCTCAGGCACCTACCCTACCCTAGAAGGGTTAGGCAACACAGACCCAAACTTATGCCTAGAACAGATTAACTCGGTGGCACTCGATGTATGCACAAGGCTTATTCCTCTAAGAAAAAGGAGGAGTAGATGTAAAATAGAAAGAGACAGGCGCTCCCTTTACAGGCGACGGAAAAGAATAACAGAGCGGCTAAAAGAGGTCAATATATCTGAAATGCGCAGGGAGACACTGGTCAGAGAAATAGCAAGCATCGAACTTAAGCTAAAAGAATCCTTTAGGAGTCAGGAATCGCGGGAAGAACTAAAAGCTATAAATGAAATCGAAAGAAACCCAAAGTATTTCTTCTCCTATGCCAAATCAAAATCGAGAACAACGCCCAGTATTGGGCCCCTACTTAAACAAGATGGGTCCTACACAGATGACAGCAAGGAAATGAGTGAGCTACTCAAGTCCCAATATGACTCAGTTTTTAGCAAGCCGCTAACCAGACTGAGAGTCGAAGATCAAAATGAATTTTTTATGAGAGAGCCACAAAATTTGATTAACACAAGCCTATCCGATGTTATCCTGACGCCAAATGACTTCGAACAGGCGATAAATGACATGAGTAGTGAAGAAAGCGGCTGGAGCATCCCTTCCGGAAAAAGGCATGCGGCTGGAGCATCCCTTCCGGTTTAGCCGTGCGGCAGAGACATCCCTTCCGGTCTAGGACCAGCAGCTGGAGGGTCACCTTTTCACACCTAGGTGTTACTTCCGGTTTTGACCATGACCTCGCCCTCGAGACTACCTCACCCTTGACCCCCCAACCAATACCCCCGCCACGACCCCCCCCCCCTTCGCGACCCCGCCGTCGCGCGCGCCCCCCCGCCCGCGCCCCGCCCGCGCGCCCGCCCGCGCGCCCCGCCCGCGCGCCCGCCCGCGCGCCCGGCCCGCGCGCCCGCCCGCCGCCCGCCCCGCGCGCCCTTCGCGACCCCGCCCGCGCCTTCTGCTGCGCCTTCTGCAGCGTCATCCGGATCACCCCCGCGCTCGAATTTTTTTTCTTATGATCTCCTTGGATCAAGGGTTTTGGATTCT